CAGAGTTATTAGTTCTCCCTCTTGTTGGAGATCAGAGAAGGCTGTGAACTTCTCTTTAATGCTGAGCAAGTTCCAATTTGTGTTTGTTATAAGATACTATAAAACCTAGAAAATTGGTCATAAACATAGAACTTTTCTTTTAAAGAAAAAAAAACCATGGGGACTGGGAGAAGTTGAGGTCATAATCAGTGTCATAGGAAAGGGAAAACAAGTAACTTTGTACACAGTGCCATTTCAGTACCATGGACAGAGCCCCACTCTGCTCCTCTGAGGCCCCCTCCCCACCTACCCCCATATCACTTAAACCTAAGGTTTTAAGCTAGGATTCAAACTCATGTCTGATAAGACTCCAAGCTCAAACACTAGGCTGTATTGTTGTTTTGTGAAAGACCTCCCTGGACATTTGAACATTCTCAGTCTTTGATATGTGGTTTGGAGAATATGTCACTCATTTATTGTCAACTTGAAAATTTGAAATCTTTAAAAAATTTTTAAGTGAAATAGACAATGCCATTCCCCATTCATTTTCAATCCAGGAGAGCTTTAAAAACTCATGTGAACAACAACAACAACAACAAACACACTGACCCTCCCCCCTCCGACACACATGTAGAGAAAAGAAAGTAAATGGTTAAAATGATGAAAACAAATTATTTAAATGATTGATACATTTTAGTTCTTTATGATACATGTCATGTCTTTTTAGAAGGAAAACTCCTAGAGGATGAAGTTTATGAAGTACGTCCTTTGCTAGGACCAGGCCTTTTGTGGGGCCCACTTAATAAAAAGCAACACAATTTTACTATGAAAAAGAAAAAAGATATCTAAGCCAGGATAAGTGGTGTTCTTGACTTTATTATAGTCTTTTCCCAAAGAACTTCTTGTGAAAAAGGAAGAAGGTGGGAGTGGGTGGGAAGAAAGAAAAATTAATTCTTTGTCATATCAGGTAAAAAGCCTTTAATGAATCGTAGGACCCATAGGATTAAGATATAATTTCTTTGCATGACATTCTTTATAATCTGACCCCTGCCTTCATTTTTAGACTTGTGCTTTAGCCCTGCAGAGTTGCTCCTGATTCCCCGGGTGTGATAATTTTGCATGTCTTTGCATTTGCTGATAATGTCGTGGATATGCTTCCAGTCCCCTCCCCACCTGGTGAGATCCATCTTTATCTTCCAAGCTTCAACTTACATGTCATATTCCCAGTGACGACACTTTTCCTGAGCTGCTTCATTGTCAGAATCACTCACTTTCTTGTTGGTGATCTCAATTAATCTTTTAAATAAAAAGTAATGATGACAGTTAAATGATATATGCAATATACCAGCCCATTGCATGGTACACAGGAGGTGAGTGCTCAGTAGAAGATTGTTAACTGAATTAATGTTCTGAGAGAGCTCTGTGACTGTTTGCAATTTATATAATGGGGTATATTGGATCACTCCCATTTTCCTTATCATGTGCATGCATTAGAGATAGGGACACAAACCTCAGGACATTGACAAGAGTGCTTCTGAGAATTAGTGCTACTCCCCAACAATAACTCTTTGAATTTGAGGCTGTAAAACATTCCTCTAGGCTAATTTCTATGTATTCTAATAATTTCAGTTCAACCTAATGAACATTTATTGAACATATACTGTGTGCAAGGAACCATACCCTGCTCTGAAAATGCTAAAATGAGTAAGCAACCAACCCTTGTCCTCCACTTCCCTCAAGAAGCCGATGGTTCTGATGGGAATGCAGACATGCCCACCTCTAACAATAATAATCATCAAATTGTGAAAGGGCATAAAGAAAATGCTTTAGGGTTCTTCAGGAGTGAGCAACAAGTTCTCAGAGGAGATCAGGTGAGACCATGTTAGCTAAGCCTTGAAGTAAAGCTTTTCATGGGGAACAGAAGTTTGGGTATGAGACATTCCAGCCAAGGGAGTAACACTGCAAAAGTATGGAGGTGAGAATGTACCAAGCATCTCCAGGGACTCTGAGTAATTCACAGTGACTGGAGCACAAAGTCAATAGGGCAATTGATGGGAGATAAGATCATGAAAGAAAAACAGGAGTAAACTGTGATTCTTACTGTTTCCTCTTCTAATGCTCTTGAATTGTTTACTGGAAGTTGTCTCCTTTATGTAACTCATCAATGAAACCATCAATTTACCAAAGATAAGCTATTCACCTTCCAAGAAGAATTAATGGCACATTTCTTAAAAAAATAAGAATTTCTAATACATTTACAATGGGATTTGCTTTGTAAATTTAGATTGACAGGCAACTTTTCAGGAACATGTGGATTGTAAACAAACTCTATCTTAACTGGTATGAGTGTCACCTCACCTGCATAGTTGGAAAGGATAGTCAGGGTTGTTTTTTCTACTGAGGGAAATGTATTTGTTTAAAAGGCTGATGAGATGGCTAAAATGAGATGTTCATAAACATTATTTGCTTATGTACTGAATGCTTGGGAACTTTTTAACCAGTGATTGCAAGGCAGCAATCTTTGAACTTATATTCCTTCTCTAGGTTCAGATTTTGAAGGTAAAAGAAAGATTTTGAAGGTAAAAGAAAGTTTTGATCATGAATTCCTTGGTTTCATTACACTTAGGCTCCTATGTTTATTTTTCTACATAAGTTCCAGGTATTTTCTGTATTTTAAAAAACTTTATTTTGAACTAATTTTAACTCACAGAAATGTTGCAAAAATAATACAGAAGGGATAATTGTACTGTACTGTGTATCCCTCACCTATATTCCCCTAACACTGATACCTTATATCACCATAGTACAGTTATCAAAACCAGGAAATTAACATTATTTCAATACTATTAACTAAACTAAAACCTTATTCTAATCTCATAGTTTTCCCACAGGATTCGCCATGCGATCCCAGGAACCACACTGCATTTAGTTGTTATTTCTCAGTAATCTTCTGTAGTCTGTGACAGTCCCTGAGTCTTTCCTTTTCTTTTATGATCTTGCCACTTCTGAAGAGAACTGATTGGTTTGTCACATACCTCTCAATTTGGGTTTGTTTGATGTTTTCTCGTGTTTCGACTGAGGTTGTGCATTTGGGGCATGACTACCTCAGATACGATGTTGTGTCCTTTGCAGTGCATCATAGCGCAGCATTCACAGTATCAGTATATAAACTCTAGTGATGTCGACCTCGATCACTTGGCCACAGCGCTTTCTTTGCATTTTTAACCCTGATAGCTAATCACTAATCACTGCCATTTCTGACAGATAACAAGGTAGCAGATCATGGCATTTTGAAACTGGAAGGGAACATAGAGACCATCTTTTGTTAACCCCTCCTTTTATAGATAAGCACCCAGAAGCTCCAACAGGATAACCACTTGCGTAAAGGTCACCCAATTATTAATATTTAATGACAGAGCAGGAACTTCGCAGTTAGGTCTCAGGGATCCAAGTCTAATGCTCTCTGTACTTCCTAACTGTGCCTAGACACTTGTAATTTATTTAGTCCTGGTTTTACCAGACTGTAAAAGCTAAATGGACTGTATGAATATCCAGCCGATTTGATCAAAACTTACAACCAAACCAAAAGAGAAATCGCAGGGAGGCATATACTCCACAGTTCATGGTGCCCACTCACAGACCTGGCCAAGGCTGGAAATCAGATGAACTTCTGTATCAGCATTTCTGAAATGAAAATAATTCTCCTGGAATGCTCCACATAACACATAGGGAACAACAACAAAAAACCTACTTGAGATTTTTAACAGAAAAAGGAGATTTGTTTATTAATAATTCATGAGTTCCCATTGAACATGCACGACAGAAACAGTGCTATTCAATAGAGAATACTGTCATCTGTCACTGTTTTATTTGACATTTACACTTTTTTTTTTTTTTGCCTGATACTGCAAAACTTTCTTGGATGGCATGCAAAAATTATATAAATGAAAAAAATCCCAATGTGGGGACCCTTTATCTCTTCTGTGATGGGTTCACTCACAATTACATACACGTGTGTTCATGCAACACAATGTCACTTTCTCACATAGTCATTAGCCACCAAACAAGCTAATGAGAGACCCTATTGAGAAAACAGAGATAAGCATTCCAAACGGGCAGGTGAAAGAATTATGTGAATAAAAAGATGGTGGGTGAGATGGGAAGTGAGGCGGAAGAATAGATTTCCTAAAGATAAGCATAGAAATGCCTGGAGTGAGCAAGTGAGCAAGTGAGTCAGAGTGAGGGAAAGCACATCATGGCTGCCGTAAAGAAAGCTGACAAAAAATACCTCGCCGTTTCAGATACAAAATAAATATTTATAAATGGCATCACAGGAGCACCACTAGTAGGAAACACTGGCATTTAGTAGAAGAGCAAGTTAGAGTTAGGAGCATCTGACGATTGTGTGCCACTATAAGGCTCCCGATAATCTTTCTGCTCTGTAGGTTAGTTATTATTTATAAAAACCACAGAACCAGCTGATACATTCATAAGCTAATTATTGAAGCAGCTGGGTACACATGGTGCAATATGTCCAAGGCTGTGAAGTATCACAGATTTCTTGGGGCCTGCTGTGGTGGGGGTGCGCCGTTGAAGGCTCCATCCCTTAATCTGATCAGCCAAGCAAACACTTTGTGGGGAAACTAGATTAATAACCCTCTTAAATACCATGAATGTGCTTCATCTTCAAAACCGGGTTCCCTTAAACATGCTATTAGCTCAGCTCCATCAGGGATTTGAGGAAGTTCTCTGGTGCTCTAAGAACAGGGTCTTGTTGGCTACCTCCCTGTGCCAGAAATTAATTTGGTTTGCTTATGTCTGCACACATGATCACACTTGTGTCTAATCTGCTCCCTAATAGCTTCAAGGTCAAGACCTTGCATGTCAGTGGGCAAATTGAGCACTACACTTCTTAAAGACTGATGGCAGACAGCACACACTCCGTAACGAGGCCCGCAGTGTTGTTCTAAGTGATTGTAATGAGTGCAGATTATAACAGCGCATATAAATCAAATGCGGCAATGAATGTTGTGCAAGACATTCCCAGTGTCATAAGTGGAGATACTACTCAGCTGTCACCTGTCTCCTTTCAAGCTGCGGCTTCCCACAATGCAATTCACTCCTCAAGCGGAACAGCAGGTGCTATCTTCCTTCAGGTTTGGGTATCTCAGAACTTCATCTTTTAACAGATGTAGGTTTTTGTTTTTATTTTCTGTTAAATGATTGGTCTCCATGCTATCACCTCCCCTGGGAGATGTTAAACATACCTGTTTGAAACATTTGAAAGAGTTCAGTTGGAGACTTATTCAGATCTGTGAAAAGACAGAGAAATAGGATCTTATTTTTTCCACAGATGGTTTGCTTTCTATTTCAAGAATTCTTTCCTTTGTACAAAGAAACCCTTGAGGAAACACTTTGGGACTAGGAGATTTTTTAAAAATATAATTTATTTTCTGGTAGGGATAAAAAATTGTTTTCATTTTTCATGTACATTGCACCTTGAAAATCAACCATTACCTGTCTCTCAATTGAGTTTTTAAAAACTCTATGAAAATACTTGGAAAAACATGTCCAAGCAAATGATAAGGTATCTTGTTTTCATTCTTCCTAACCTTCTAACTCTCCCAAGCTTCCAGTTTATTGCAAGAAAAGATCAGGTCTGTGCAAATGTGGCCTCTCACTTGTAAAAACAAGGCAGTGTTGTGTTACAGATTAGTTTATAAATCCCCAGTGGCTTCACAGTTCAGTGCCTACAGCTGCTGCAGATGGGCCTGGGTTTTTGTCTCTTCGCGGTGCTGCAGCCGGCAGTTGAAGGAGAAAATGGAATGATCAGGTTATTAACATGGAGGCCGCGAGGAAGAGGCTGCACAATGAGAACAGCTGGTGTTGCTGTCTTGGCTGATGCAGCGGAGATAATCAAATCTTGCCTTTTTTTGGGTAAAGGCAGAAGACACAGTGGAGAGTTAGACAAACAACAGCTTATGATATTATATGGGGTTTTTATAATGCGTGTCAGGAACTTCCATTGGCTTACAAGTGATGATATAGAATTTGTTGAGGTTTGGGATTTATTTATCACAAAGTCATTTGTGTTTATTTATGCACCTTTTTAGAAAATTTTTTACTCTTTTACAAGAGGCATAATGTGGGACAGTTCTTGCTTTTAAAATTAGCGATGTAGCTTGGAAATGATGGGTTAGCAAGCTACTGGGTAAAATATTTTGACATGAGTCAGTGAGCGATGTTGACAGCATCCTCTGTATTATTTTCATATAATCCATCATTATTTGCATTACATTTTCTTTCTCGTGCAGTTGCAAGAGAGAGAACATCCGGATGCCAGAGTTTGGAGGCAGACATTTGCAGGTGTGACCTGACCAACTGCCTACCTTCCTGCAGGTGTGCCTGTGCTGGGAAGGTGATGGTTAAGAGGCCTAGAGCCCAAGGCATTCAGAGATTGAGGGAATACACATTTTTTTGCATTCTACCTAAGGTTATTTTTTTTATTTTGTGGAGTTATTGATAATTATTAAAAACATTTCCTCCCTAAAGAATTCAGTGCTATTTACACTTATACATTTTGTCTTTTTTAGAATTTGCCATCTCACAATATATATTAGTTTATCTTCACTTTTTTCTTAGAATGGAATACTAGCCAATTGGGTAATTTATAAAAATTGTCGTTGACCAACGCAAATTACTTTTCCTGAGAATCAGATAACTATAATCTTGCTTGATTATCCTTTACAAAGAAACTGCAGTTGGGAATATGTTCTGTAGGCAGGGTGATATGAGTGCTAACAAAAATAAAGATTCTTGGACATTGGTGTGACCACCTATGTGGTTATTTATTGGTTTTTAGAGTCAGATTGTTTCAGTATCTTCCTGCCCTAGGTTGGTGGGAACAATTCGACAGGAAAGTATGCTAAACTGGAATGGCACTTGACCGAAGTCAGGGTCGTCTCAGCTCCTCTGCACCTTACAGGTGAACTCAAGTGACCTCCTCTCTCTCTAGGGCTGGCTGTGCGAACTGCTCCGCTGGAAGGAGAACCCAAGTCCTGAAAACCGCACCCTCTGGGAAAACCTCTGTACTATACGCCGTTTCCTGAACCTTCCCCAGCATGAGAGGGATGTGATCTACGAAGAGGAATCCAGGCATCACCACAGCGAGCGCATGCAACACGTGGTCCAGCTTCCACCTGAGCCGGTGCAGGTGAGCCCCACCCCCGCACTCCCTACCTGAGCAGGGCTTTCTGTGTCAACAGTAGCTGCTGAGGGTCTGGGAGCCCACCACACCAACTTCTGTTGGAGGATGTCTCGTGCCATGTCCCCAAGGACAGAAGACCTTGCTGTGTATGTAAGTGTATGTGCACATGCAAAGAAAAGTGAGAAGTCAAATGCCAAAGACAGCTGCTTTTCCTGAGAGCATTTTACTTGTGGGGCTGTGAAGCCAGAGCGCTCGTGGAGAATGAAATCTCCTGATTCAAAAACATAGTTTCCATTAGTTCATTTTCTAAAGAAAAACTCTGAAGTAGTTTTCGACCCAGAGTTCCTCAAGGAATGTTTGATTAGGCTAAGGAAAAGAAATAGCCGCATGACCCAGGGAATACCATTAAACTCAGCTGGACCTTTAAGAGACAGATTGTGATGGATTCTTAGAATTTTAAGATGGGTTTTTGCTATCTTTGGTGTCCTCTCTTTTAGAAATCTGCCTTCATTTGTATTGCCTGTTTTGTTGGCTTAGTTTTTGTTCTCATTGAGAGAAATAATATAGCTTTCTGAAAGTAACTGAGTTTGATTACTGACTCTGTAATCTAAAATTAATTACTTTCGAGAAGAAATATTAACTAAGATTTCCAAGATTAGACCCTCTAGAGTTTTGCCCAGGAATTGTTTCGGTAAGATTCGTTCTACAGCTCAATCCCAGCTGCCACTGAAGAGGACCCTTTTATGGCTTCTCTCTGAATTTCCTTTTGTGTAGCAGGAAGGGGACAGTCCAGGCAGGAGTGTGTGTGTGTGCAGCACACATGTCCATGAAGAATGTGAGAGAAGATGAGGATAGAGGGAGGGTGTGGCACAGTTTCTTGATGAAGATGTCATCAGAGGGGATGGTGAAGGATGTGCTAAAACACTCTACCCTGAGCTTTCTGTGTCTCCTTTCTCCTTGTTCCACTCACTCATGCCTTGGGGAGAAGCCAGAAGATAACTGGTCCTTTAGGTCACTTTTCATCCGAATATTGATTTGATGTGATTTTCATCCAAAATCACAAGAGTTAATTGCCCTGTTAAGACTCATGGATTCCTGGGGTCAGTCTCTTACAATATCCGAAGCATGAATGGCTGGGTGATAAGGGTACTGGCTAGTATTCACCCTTCAAGACCCACCCTCCCCCTGTCCTTTCTTGGTCCTTTCCTGGCTGGGGCCTCATCCAAACACCAGGATACCTCTCTATAGATAATTAGACCAATATACTGAGTCACACAGAGCAACGGTTTTTAGGGTTTGAGATTTAATAGAAATTAAAATTAAAGAAGGGCTCAATATAGGTTTTCCAACCTTTTATTTTAGAAAATAAATTTATTTGAAAAATTAAAGGGAAAGCTCCCATTTATTATCAATATCATTTCATAAAATATTCTTTAATGTCAAACAAATTAATGAAATGAAATCAATTCAGCCATATGAAAAACTCACTATTACCCTCCCCTCCCCCATTTTGATGTGAACTGGTCCAAACTTCTGTCTTGAACCAACCATAAGGCCAAGGACCAGCTTCAGGGAACCACTGACTTTGCATGGATTTCTTATTCAGGGTCCATCTTAGTGCAATACAGGTGAAGTAGAAATAGAACAGGAGTGAAAAACTGATTTATTCTAGATATTAATAACAGCCCATTTTAATTATAAGATGATGAAGTTGGAAACTTAGCAAAATTTAAGATAAAAGTACTAAGATCCACTCTCTATTATAATTGAGGACCTCCCTTCCTTAGGATGATAGTTTTTACACCATACCAGTCTCTGCTTTTTGTCCAGAATTATCCCTGTGGGTTCTGTGTTTAGGTAGCTAAAGGACATTCAACATGATGTTTTGTCTGATAGATGACCAGTTTGAGTACAGTAAATCTCAGAAGCAGACAGTCAATTGATTTATGAGTTTTATTATCTTTTATGTTAGTCTGTCAGGATGAGAGTGTGCTAACAATATTTAATGGCTAAGCAAGAATCAGTCTGTAATTTTCCTTTTCAGTTTTAAGCACTTTGTGGCTATTAACATTAGTTTCTGATATCACTAAGAGAAATTCACTTATTTTATAAAAGGTTATTCCTATTAGTAAGATCTTAGCTAAAGAGTTTACAAATAAGGTAATTTTCTCTACAGTGACTTTGCCTTAGCCATTGACCTTGATCCCATAACTACTTAGTGAAACTCTTCAGTATATCACTTTGTTTTTTTTTTACATCATGCCTATCTCTGAGTGGCACTGCTTTGTAATGTTGAATTTATGTTTGTCAGCAAAATACAAAGCTGGGGATTAATTATTTATTATAGTCATAACTGAAAATAAAGAAAAATATCTGGCACCAGCCAGCAGAACTCTTGAAACTAGAGAACACAGTTGGCACAGTCTCTGGGACTTGGGAAGGACTATATTTAAAAAGATACCAAGCTACTGAAAAAAAGTTGATTGTCTAAAAGTCAAGCCATTGGACTCAGGCTTGTAATTCACTTGTGCCCTTATATCAATGAAAATTTTAGCAAGATATAATTACATGTTTTGGAAATCTTAAAATTCATAAGTAGGGCAATATTATTTTGGTGATATATTTTGTCTAATTAGGTAGGAAATGTGCCATTATTTAATTGTTAAATATGGGTGAAACCAGTGACTATTAAAAGCTTCTGATATATGCAGCATATTAAAAAACACAGAAGTCCTCCCCAGTTGTGGTCATGGAAGAATGACATTTAAATTTCTTTTGGTAATTAGGGTGCACCATTCCCTAATTTTTCTTAAATGGCAAAGATATGAGGCAGTGATCCTTGTGCATAATTACCCACCAGATTAATCTGTTGCATCAGGGTCCCACAGATGTACTGGATAAAAGAGGGAGCTTCGCATCACTCGTCTCCATTGGTGCCTTCTGTGATGTGGAGAAGTCCTATAGGAACTTTTGTTTGCTGTTTGCAAATAGAGATCACAAACAGTCAGTCTTGTATTGCCTGCAGATGTGTTTCTTTTAAGCCCACATTTAAAAATCAGGAGATTTCACATAAAATCCAGAAAATCAGAAGATCTGACCCACCGGACTCAGAGTTCCACATGGCTGGAGCTGATGCCCTTTCCACAGGGCACACACTTGCCATCCTGCTGCTAGGATCCCTGTCACCTACTCTTGATGCACGTGCACATATACCCAGCTGCCACATCAAAGCCACAAGTGTCTTTGCCCCATGGCTCTGATTTCCTTGATGGTAGCCATTACATATCATTTATTTTTACAATCCTAACACAGTCCTTTGTATGCCTACCAATGGGTACATGTTCAGTGGAATCTCACTTCGGAGATGAGGCAAGGTTATAGTTGAGAGTAAGCTGGGCTTGGGCCACTGAGGGGTGTTGTCATCCCTGGAGACCTGCCAGACCTGGTAGAATGAGATGGTTCTTCCTTGTGAATTCAGATCTCTCCAGGCAATGTGTAGGTTTGACATCATATTGAATTATCCAGTTTCTCCACATTTCTTTTTGGTATTCTAAGTTTCTTCAGAAACCCCCGTTTAAGTCCGTGCCGTTAGAAGCTGAATTTCCAGGCTCTGGACACACTAGATCCATTGACATTATGGATCTATAATGGGAACGATATTGCCCTAGCGGGGTGAAACTTGGTTCCTGGGGAGCATAAAAATCTTAAATTCACATTGGTTTGTGGCCCTCCACAGGGACACGGTACATAAAGAGATAGTGTATCTCGGGCATTAATATTTTATGAAGAGAGACAGCGATTAAGAAAAATGCCTAAAAAGCCTCTTTAGAGAGTCAATAATGAAAAAAGTTTGAGAAATACTAATCTACATAATGTTTCTAGTTTACGTATAGACAGCACACAGAATTGAACAGAGGTGAGACATGGTAAGGCAAACCAAGTCAAACCAAAGTATTTCATGAAAAAGATGAAATAAATTCCATTTTTCACCCCAAAAGGTGGAGATAAAATTATTTCTTGTGGTGGTAGTGATTTTCCACCAGTGGTTATTATAACCCAAGGCCCTATAGTGAATGGATATCCTCAGCTGAGAATCAAAAACTAGTTAGGTGAGGGTATTCATTATTACCAACTGCATTTTACAATTGGAAAACCCAGAGCAGAGATGTCGAACTTTGCCTGAAGCCAGGGTCACCAGCTGAATGAAAACACAGGCATTTTTGGCATCCAGTCTTTCCTCTGACCACAGTTCCCTCTTAATGCGGTAGAGAAGAAAGGGTGCTGCTCATACTATGACTAGGCCACTGAATGAGGTTGACTGGGGAGCATTTGCCAAATTGCTCACGTCTGTGTAGTTTGTGCTTTATTTCTTTATTGTATTTCCACCACAGTGTTTCCACGGGTTATTTTTTTAAGTTCAGGAATTCTGAGCTTGCTGCTATGTGGTTTCCTGACAAGTACTTGTTTTAAACTTCCATACTGTACATCGAATAAGAATGTGAGACTTGGTTGGTGACAGCCAGACCCCACCAGCATTGTACCTTTACTTGTCCGGATTGTTGCTCACTCAGGGGGTTTCCAGCATTTTCTAAGCCGTAGACTCCCTGTTACTGGTATCAATGAATGATTCTCAACCAGCACAGATTTTGCCCTGTATGGGATATTTATCAATGTCTGGAGATATTTTTGGTTATTGTATTTGGGGATGCTACTGGTATCTAGTGGGTAGAGGCCATGGATGCTGCCAAATTTCCCACAATGCACAGGACAGCGCCCCCCTCAAACAAAGATTTACCTGACCTACAATGTCAATAGTGTTGGGGTTGTGAAACCCTGGTGAGGACATACCAGTAATTACCTAACAGCGTAAGATAAAAATTCATGAGTATCTCTGAGGCTGATTCTGAGTTTTTCCTATCAAAATTTAGTAGTAATGATACCAGTGACGTTTCTGCGTCTTCTTCTTCTCCTCCCCCACCCCTTGCCTCCCCCTCCTTTTTTTCTTC